GGCGGAAGTGAACCTGCCCGCATGGAACTCAGTCTAGTGATGACTGCAGTCAGCCATTGGGAAATGAACTTCAATAATGTTTCTGGAATCACTAACGGGTGGTCTGGGAAGGTGTCTTAAAGGCTATCAGCCAGCTTACGGTGGTGATGGGAGGCTGGGTCCTCCAGGAGGGAGAACAGCATTGTGAAAGCCGGAAGATGGGATACGGCTAGAGGAGGGAAAGTGAGCGCTGCGACGAGAGGTGTGGATGGGCATAGGCCACTGGGAGGTGTGAGGATGTTTATTCATTGGTGACAGGGAGCCAATGAAAGGCTTCCAGCAAGGGAAGTTTGCATCAGGTCTCCAGCCAGAGGGTGGAGGACCGCATGAGTCATACCTTCGCTTCTGTTTCTAGCTAAGTGACCTGTGGTTGGCGGCCATGTGCTTTTCTGGGGACCAAGCGAGTTAGGTATCTCTTTGGGCACTGAGGGACTGTATCTCCTCCAATAACTCGAAGGGCCCTTACAAGGAAGTAGAAATCGCAGAGATGGGTATGAGGCAGTGACTGTGGTGCTTAAGGATCCAGGCTCTAGGGCCAGGCAGGTAGAGTCTACCCATCACCAAGGTCGTGTGACTAGTAGGTTATTCCACCTTTTTGAACTTCACCCCCTTTAAAGCAGGAATCATAATAGAACCTTTTACTCAGGAGTTGTGAGAATGAAGGCAACTCACATGGAGTACTTAGTCTAGTGTCTGGCATATGATAAGAATTCAATGCCTGGTTCATTATATAACTATTATTATTTCAGTGGCTCTCAGTGGGGAAACTTACGAGCTGTAAGATTTGGGGTTTGTGGAAAGTTTTTTAACACTTCAAGTTGTTAAACATGGGTTGAATTGTCTGATGGGCAGTGAGCTCTCCATTTGAAAGTATCGGGGGTGAGTACTTTGTGACATGTTTTAAGGGGTCCATCTAGGGACCAGGCAAGAGGACTGATGTTGGATTCCTTCTACCTCCAGGGCTTCATTAACCTTGGGACCAGTGAGAACAAGCTCTGCATTGATCTCATGACTGAAAGGGTAAGCCAATTTCCTGGCTATGCTGGGACCACCGTCAGCCTCAATCCCCCTAGACTGTTAATCAGCATGTGGTAGATATAAGTCTGGGATTTGAGAGATTGGGGAAGGAAGTGGAGGAAATAGCTTCTAGAATAGCACATCTGTCCTTCTGGATTTGCTGTGTTCAGGGTGTTCTCTGGATGGGTATAGGGTGAGTAGGCTGCCAAGGGAGCCTCTGGCCCAAGTGTAGGGTTGGGGAGGTTCTTAAACACTTTTCAGTAAGTAATCTATTTGTGTAATCTGAGAAGATTGGGACCCCTATTCATTCAGGAGCACACAGCTTGTGTCCTCATTGTCCTTCTGGGAGGCCCTGTGTCATAGAGCAAATACCAAATGCATCCTAGTAGCAGGGTGAAGACCGTTGGGCTTCTCTGGTCTGGTCTGTCTGTCCTCACATTCTATTTGTCAACAGTTAAGTCGGAGTGACATGAACTACATTGACGATGCCCTTCTGCAATATTCCAAAATCAGAGGACATTCATTGTAAGTAACCTCAGGATCTATGGTCTCTTGGCCCACGAGCACCTGACCTAATGCAAGGAAGTTCTCAAGGTGCTAGATTCTTGGTTGGCTGCCTCCTTGTTTCTTTAGATAACAATTCTAGAAAATGCCTAGAGGACAACATTAGGAGTCTGCCTGGTGTAGTGAAATAGCACTGCCCTATAATTCAAAAGTCCTGAGTTCTCGTTGCAATTTATTATCTGTTCCCCGGGGAGTTGATAGCCACAGTCAGTAGCGCTGTGACACGACTGGATGCTTTGACCTTTGGACGACACTGAATTCTAGACCTGGAAACCACAAGGTCTCTCTGGGTCTGTTCACAGCCTGCTGGAAGAAGTGGCCCAGTTCCTGACCTACTACTGCAAGTCACCCACCCAGCTTGATCCAGAAAACGTGAGTCAGTCTCCCAGCCTCACTGCCATTCTAGAGGAGGGCTGTATTCTTGGGGGACTCACTACGTTTTCTGGATGGTACAGGGAGAACACTTAGAGACTTTCAGGACAAGGACATAGTGAAGGCCAGTAGGTCCCAGCTGATGAGGTTCCTGGTGCCTGTACCTCCAGGGGGAGGGAGACAGGAGGGCTAGCATTTCTTTCATGGGGATTGGTTTTTGACTCCTGCCTACTATCATATTCTTCAGGTGGTGGTTCTAAATGGCTGCTGCTCTGTCTTCTCTGTGCTGGCCATGGTTCTGTGTGATCCAGGTGGTAAGTCAATGGGCTCTGCTCTCCCTCAGGGAAATAGCAGCACATGGGTACTGGGCCAAAGGGAAGAAGAGCATCTTGACTCAAGGCCTTTCCCCTACAGCACTGTGAATCTCTGACACTGATAAGAATGTCTTCCTGCTATTTCTGTGGGAGTAAAGGATTTGGATCTCCATTTAGTATAGAAGGAAAACATATGACAGTCATCAAGGAGGTATGGCCCAGGAGTGGTGACAGAGGGAGCCAACTCATATTATTAGCTAGGCTTTGGGGCTCGACTCCAAATGCAGAGAGCACTGGTAAACAGGCTTTGTCTACATAGATTTTCTACCTTCTTATCTTCCTCCTAAAAAAAATGTAATCAGTTCAAGACTAAATAAGGCTGAAAGATCTGATTTCATTCTCCCTCCTAACAATGCACAAACAAGAGTGTCAGATCCTAATGAGCTCCGGCCACATGGATGGGAAGGGAAGAAAAGAACATATGTGATCACCAGGTACAAATAACCTGAGTTGTGTGGAGAGATGAGCGCCCTCCCTGGGCAGGGACCTCAGCCTCTGGTGTTTGCCCTGAAGCTGACCAGATTTTGTGAATGACCAGTGCTACTCCTGCTAGTAAGCGTGGTTTGGTTTGTACCCTGGTTTCTGAGCCATTCATAGGAATATTCTTCCCTTGTGTCCTTCTCATGTACTCCCAAAGAGGAAACTTGGGTTTTATTTCCCAAATATTGTTTGTAAGAATGGACAACTTTTACAGAGCCTGAGCCTAAAAAGCATTAATCCCCAAGTAGGAGAAATAACTTCCTTTGTTTTTAGGGGTTCTGGCGGGTTCTGATTAAGAGACCCAGGACTGACAGCTTTGTTTCTCTGTGCTTCCAGATGGCTTTTTGATCCCCACCCCCTTCTATGGTGGCTTCAACTTAACTACCCATCTGTATGCGAAAGTTGAGCTCATTCCTGTCCACCTGGACAGTGAGGTCAGAATGGGGTCCCTTCTGATCAGCCCTCCTAGGCAATGGAATGTCCTGGGGGTGTTTCGAAGGTCTGGGTGGGGGCTTGTTTTCCTCCCGTATAAATGATAGAGGGCACAGGATGGAGAAATTAGGGCAAAGAAGGCCTGTGGGACTGGTACCCTGGGTATGAAGGCAAAGGATTGCTCAGGGTTTCTAGGAATGAGGAATCAAAGCTTAGAAGCTCTCCGAGAGGCAGTCCTCAGGCAGGGTTTGTCTTCCAGATCACTGATGTGAACACCCATCCATTCCAGCTTACTGTGAGCAAGTTGGAAAGAGCCCTATTTGAGGCTAGGCTTCAGGTAAGTAAGGGACCATGTGTTCAGGGGGGGGCACTGCTGCCCCTGAAAGGGGCCCAGTACTGAGATTCTGCTCCAACTTGCTCACCAAGGCAGTGTGGGCTTCTTCTTCAGAAGAGGCAGTGAACCAGGAACATGTCCCCCTAGGAGCTTGAGCCCTGTCTGTGGCAGCCCCCAGAGCTCCTTCCTACTCCTCTGTGGGCAGTATGGCAATGGCTTTGAGATCCTACCTTGGGCTTCATTAGGTGTTCTATATTTGGTGTCCTGACTGATCCTTGGCTGAACTTGAGATAGAAGTGATGGATTTGTGTTCACTGGATTGTTCGGTTCTTTCTAGTGTAAAAAGGTCAAAGGCCTTGTGCTCATCAACCCTCAGAATCCCCTGGGAGACATCTACTCCAGAGACTCCCTGAAGGAATACCTGGAATTTGCCAAAAGGTAATAATTCACCCCCCTTGAGACTAGACAGATTCCCTAAACCGGGTTCCCATTGCTTGTGGTCAAGAAGTCAGAACCAGAACTGATTTACCCCACATGTTCTTACTACTTACTGTACTCAGCAAAGTCATGTTCAGCTAACTGAAATTGGGATGAAGGAAATGCACCCACATGCTTATTGCTTCGACCAAGCTTTTTCGCCATTTCTTTTCTAGTCTTGTCCACGACAGACATAATGATCATACAGGTTTTTGCTTTTCTACTTCTTGTAGTATAAGCACTTTCTCCAGCATCTGTCTCCCAAGGTACTTGGCCTAAGGTGCCAAGGAAGACAGATCTCAGATCTTTTGGGGTGATGATGAAGACGTGTCCCTAAAGCACCTTCATGTCCCATTTGTAAGATATGTTCACATCAGATGTCCCTGGAGTCTTGAAACTGCCCTACTAGGTAGGGTAGATAATCTATTTCCTAGAAGAGATGCACTTGTTCAAGCCTCAGAACTAACCCAGACCAATAAATGGCAGAGCATGGGGACAAGAGGAAGAATGCTGGAAGTCTGTGGGCTGGAATTTGACAGAACGGGATTCATATCCCAGCTCTAAAGCCTGCTAAGTGAGGGAATTAACTTTACATCTCAGAAACTTTGTTTCCTCATGTGTGAAATGGGGATAACAGTACTGCCTCAGGGGACCGTTGGGAGAATAAGCATGATGTGCATAAGCCCTTCGCCCACTTCAAGCCACTGTTTGATTCAGACCCTGGGTGGGAGCACCTGACTGTACCAGATAGGAACCTTGGGGACACCCAGCCATTTCCCATTGGTCTCTGATTGATAGTTAAAAGGTTGGGTATGATGTTCTCTGGTATGTCTTTTGAGTTTTATCCCTTCCCAGTGCTTCCAAGCCAGGTCTAAAGGTCCCTTCTAGTGTACCAGCCGCTCTCCCTCACAGTAACTGTTGGAAGGGTTGCATGGGCTGCTGGGGCGGTGGGAGTATCTGATCTGCACTCAGAGTTGACCCTCAGGAATGTGAGCTAAGATGAGAGACAGAACCTTGATATTGTTCTCCCTTTTTTCGCCTCACTTGCAGGTACAACCTACATGTGATCATAGATGAGGTTTACTTGCTGTCTGTGTTTGATGAATCCATCACATTCCACAGTGTTCTGAGCATGGAAAGGTAAGTTGGTCTCAGTTGGAGTTGTAATGAGAACCATGAGGCTCCTGCTTTTGCACGGTGAGGTCATGTATCATAAATTTATTTGGCTAAGTGCTAGGAACTGAGTTAAGTGTGAAAATTAGCAAAGTATGATTTCTTTTTCCTCTCAAGCACTTTTTTGTCTAAATGCTATTTTGTACACAAGATAACTTTACGGCAAGGTAGAAAGTGCACTGTCAAAAGTCAAGATAAACCCCTACAAAAGGTCAGGGTAGGAACATCCTGATCAGTAGAATACACGAAGAGAATAAAAATAGGGCAGAACTTTCTTAGGGATCGTATTTGGCCCTAGGATAGAATCCCAGCAGCCAAAGTAAGGGATGGTCACGTCTGGTTGAAGGAGCAGCTTTACTAATGGTGGAGCATAAGAAATAAGTGAGCACATTTAGACACAGTGGGAGCCCACACTCTGAAGAGCCAACTGCCGGGGAGGTGGCTTTGGATCAGCTGTGAGAAGGCTGTGAACCAGGCTGAGGATCCTGGACTTCATTTAGAGAGCACTTGGGAACCGTTCCATTTTTTTTTTTTTTTGCCGCCCAAATACCTAGTGTTGATTAACTGGGGCAACTGTCTCTTGAACTTTGGGCCTAGCTCAAGTTCTAGTTCAAGTTCCTGTTTTGTCTAGGAAAGACCTCAAGTCAACTTTTCTCTTTACTCTGTATAGCCCCAAGTATTCATCCTTCAAATATTTCTCCATAATCTTGATGGTACTCTCTTCTCTCCAGTTTGCCTGACCCCGAGAAGACCTATGTGATCTGGGGCCCCAGTAAGGTGAGCCCCGGCTGCTTGTTATTGGGTAGGAAAAGGAGGGAAGCCAGGAACAGAAGGCAGATGAACCAGGTGTTCCCTCCCCTAATTCTCCTCCCCTAGGATTTTGGGATCTCCGGCTTCCGTTGTGGTGCTCTCTACACCCACAACAAGAAGGTGGTCTCTGCCATAAGCACTTTCGGCTACCTCCACGGCATCTCTGGCATTGCCCAGCACAAGCTGTGTCAGCTACTCCGTGACAGAGGTACTGTGCTCCATCCAGGCATCTTGGCAGACTCATGACCATGGAGAATTCCTGGGTCTGCTTGGGCCTCTGATGTGCCTTCTGTACACTGACACCCTGTTCATCGTCTTGGATTTTATGGTGGAGGACAGGAAGTTTGAAGGAGGGCAGGATGCAGCTCAGCTGGTACAGTAGGGCATAGACAGAAGAGGAAGGTGCTGGTCTAAAACACAGGATGGGCTTTAATTTTTGGCTGCCTGGTAGCTCATGTTCTGCCTGGAAAGGGGATAGTCAATCTACTGGGACTTAATTAAGGTGGGAACTTCAGAAACCTATTTTCCATCCCTGATGCCCTGCTTGCTCACACAAAAATTGTGAAGAAATGCCCTGACTCCTTAAGTGTGACTTGACTTCATCTTATAAAGTGGCCAAAGGAGAACTCTAATACGGGCAAGTTGGTGTAGCTACTACATCTGTGGCACCTGAATTCACCTGCCCCCTTTGATCTCATGTGAATGCTGGCTTCAGAGAGAACTTCTTTTAATGCCATGGCCCAAACTTATACAAGGCCCCCTTTCTTTAATTCCTTGTATTAGAGCAGATGCCAAGCTAGAGGATTTAAATTAAGAGCTGGAATATAATGAAATATATGAAAATAACCAGATAAGCTGGTTTAGAAAATAATTTACTTTCAACTTTAGGCGAGTGAATGGGTAGGTAGGAGAAATCCAACTAGACACTTCCCTACATGGGACCAGGCCCTTTGATATTTGGCAGAAACCAGCCCCTTGAACACTGGTTCTCAGTCTTAGATGCACAAGGGAATTACCCTAGAGGTTCTGATTTAGACGATCTGGGGCTGCAACCTAGGCATTAAGACTTTTAAAAGCTCTCCAGGTGGTTCCATGTGCTGCCAATGCTGAAAACAACTGGGCTGGGATGACTCTCAAGTATTTCTAGGTTCCTCAGAGTCCACCATGTAAAGCTGTAAGGCAGGAGGTAACAGGAGCTGTAAGTGCTCACGACTTGCTCAGTTGACAACAGCAGCACAACCCAATATAGGGGAGAATCTGACTTCTAGTCTCTGGAGTGCTAACTCAAACAGAACACTCCTCCTGGTTTATCGAGAGGCCTGATATCTTCAACAGTGCTGTAGGTAGATTAGTGTTGGGAATGGATGCCATCAGCTCAAATATAATAGAGTCAGTCTTGGATAGAAATAGTTGTCAGGAAGCCCAGATAGGGAGAATTTGGTAAGGAACTCTTGGCTGATCTCTGTCACAAAACCTGTGACAGCATTCTTCCCCCACCCCTCCAGAATGGATTGACAAAGTCTTCCTGCCCACCAATCGCTCCCGGCTGCAGGCAGCTCACAGGTACGTCACTAACAAGTTGAAGGCGATGAAGATCCCTTTTCTCAGTCGTGTCTCCGGGCTTTTTATCTGGATGAACTTGCAAAAGGTGAGCTCTGGGAGTGAGGTCAGGAGTTCTTGGGCAGATTCTGCTGATGAGTCTCAGGCTCATCCCTGTCCCTCTGCCTTGCCTAGTACCTGGACCCGTGCACATTTGAGCAAGAGCTGCTCCTCCATCGCTGCTTCCTGGACAACAAGCTGATGTTGTCCCATGGCCAGACCTTCATGTGTAAGGAGCCTGGCTGGTTCCGCCTCATCTTTTCGGATAAGCCCTTCCGCCTGAAACTCGGTGAGCAGTGCTAAGCTCCCAATCCTGGCATCTTTCAAAGGTGCCCCATTTACTCCTATAACCTAACAATTGAGTCTTCCTTATTGGCTTTTGGCAACCTACAGCTACAGCCTGTATACCATAGAAGGTTTACACTTTCATATTTTAAGTTCCCTTGCAAACAGGGAGTATAGGCGCCTACCGTTGAGCAGGACATTGGGACTCTAAGCTGATCACAAGTGGCACTTTGCCCTGTGGGGCTTGAAGTCCAGTAGGTGAGATAGACAGGTAGATGATCATGGAGGTCCCTGTATGTTATCTTGTGGAGTTCAGATTCTCCTATGAAGGTTATGGAGAACATGACATTCATTTAACAATGATCTCTTGCATCTCACCACCTGCTGGACACTGTTGTATCTACTGGGAATAGAGCAGTGATGAGGGAACATTTATGCTTCAGAAATAGATTTTGAGCTAATATGTAGAACAGACTGAGTGAAGGGACACTAGAGGCAATAGAAAACTTGATGATGTCAAGGCCAAAGCCAGGTTACAGGATTTGATATGAGACAGGAAGGTGTCTGGCAGGCAGATGCTGGACAATGAAGCTGAAAAAGAGCCATTGGGGATGAGGTTGGTAGACTTGGAAATCTATTTCAAAGAAGGGCGGGCAGAAGTTCAGCATCTCTGAACAAGAGGCTCCATGATGGTCTACCGTGACCTGGGAATGTCTGGGGACCACTGAAAATCCACTAATTCTTTCTTTCTCTGTCTCCATTTGGACCCTCTAGCCATGCATCGATTCTCTCAGACACTAGAGCAGAAACAGGATCAGACAGAGAAGCAACTGGAAGATGCACTAAGGGACTAAGCCCTCGGCCTCCCAACCAGCAGCTACAGATCATCACATGCTCTGGGAGTCCTGACATCAACCTCTGGTCTGGAAGGCTGGGGACTTGGCCTGGTGCTGTGACAGAGCAAACAGTAGGCTTCTCCAGAAATTAGCTTGTCTGGCCCAGTCATCACCCTTCTTAAGTTGTACATCTGTCGTTTTCAGAAGCCTTGCCTCTTTTTATTCTTTGCTAGCCATTGTGTGTGGGTAAAATGTTTTTATGGGGGTTAGAGTGGGAAAGACTAGAGAAATAAAGCGTTCTCTGCATCCCTATTTAGATGGGGTTATTCTTATATTCTATGCCTAATAAATTCCATATTCTCTTAAATTCTAGGCCTGTTTTATTTCTTCATAATCACCTTGGGGGGAACTATTTAATTTTTTTGTCCTTTTTACTTTTAAATTCTAAAGCAGGTTATATATGAAGAATACTGTGAATGTGAGTTCATTGGATGAATATGGGAGCTTATGGGACTGGAAGAGGTGAAGAAGGGAACCAGAAAGGCTCTTGGGAATCTCTGTAATGGGAGACTCAAGGCAGTTTAGTATGCACATATACACACCTATATACGTATCATTGTATATCCTTGGAAAAGATAGCCTAGAACAAAGGCAGCCAGTGCCCCCCACTTGTAAGACAGGCAATAACATGAGAGACCCAGGAAGAATCATCTCCTGACAGTGACTGTGACCTTGCCGAATTCACTTATTAGACTTTATTGTTTTGGAGGGAATTTATTTATACAGTCAGGTTGCCTATAAATGAAAATTGTTTTCCTTCTTTTTCAGCATTTATCTATTTTTCTGTTCTAATTGCATTGCCTGGAATCTCCAGGACAATGTTAAAAAGCGGTGAGAGGGGACATTCTTGTCTTGTTCTCGCTCTTAGCAGGCTTGAGTTCAATCTCTTACTCAAGCATAATGTTGCTGTATTTTTCACACTGCCCATTACCAGATAGCAAAATTTCCTTCAATTCTAGTTTGCTGAGTGTTTTACCATGAATGGGATTAATAGGGTTGAATTTAAGTAAACTATTATCTATTTTCTATTTGTGTCATTTTTTCTTGCCTTCTTTCAGATTAATCAAGCATTACTTAGTATCCCATTTTATTGTCTTTTTTGTTTGTTTTTTTACTTATACCTTTTGATTTTTAAAAACATTGTTTGCTCTAGGAATTGTGTGTGTGCGTGTGTAGATATGTATATCTACATATGTATATCTACACACACACACACACACACACACACAATTTCCAATGCCTGAAGTGAGAAATCCACAGTCCTTATCATAGTTTATTTACAAACATTCATGACCTGACCCCTGCTTGTATCTCCAGTCTTTCTCTTAAACCTGGCAAGTTCCAGAGGTGTTGGATTTGTACTGTTCATTAATTTTCTACACGGACTCTAACCTTCAAGGCCCTATTGAAATATTCCATCTGCTCTAACACCCCACTGTCCAGCTAGCTAACTAGAACTCATCCTTCAGAATTGAACTATCACTTCCTAAGTGTTCCGCATGAATGGAAGCATGTGTTTTGTGCACATGTTTGTGGGGTGGGGTTAAATCTTCCTGCTATATGCTTCCATGGCACTCAGCAATCGCTTTCTTAACAGTTATCACATTTGTATGTCTGCCTTCCAGTCAACCATGCAGGCCCATTGTTTGATTTGCTCATAGCTGTATCCCAGCACTTTGTAGAGATCTGGCACAATACAGGCGTTCAGTAAGACTACTTATTTGAATTAATTAGAATTCTATGACTGAAATGAACAAAGTGCTGAGGACAGAAAACGTCATGAGAGTTGCTCGAGGTCACAATGTTAGTAAGTGGCAAGGCAGAAGTGAAGCCCGTGGACTGATTGGTCAGAAGACAGTCAAGTCTTCCCAGCCATACTTTTTAGGAGGAAACCTGCCGCTGTCCTTTTGGGAGGCAAGACTTCCTACTCAAGGCTCTGCCTGAGCCCCGGGTAGTCTAACTCACTGCCAAAGCCCCAAAATGTGCAGGGTCCATGGCAGAATGAATTCAACAAGTGTTCTGTAGATCGAAAGAGGGAGAAATTACAAACGCCGGGGAAAAAACTCCCATAGGGGAAGGATGTTGTAAGGACGCCCTCACCTTGATATGTTTGAAAGCCACAACCAGGCGTACATTTTCCAAGAAACCTCCGTGGCTCTAGCGGCCTCAACGTTGGGGAATTAAGGCCTAGGGATTAGGGCGCCCCCCACTAGCCAGCTGGGGAGACCACGGCCAGGAGGCAGTCCCAGGCGCTCAGGCCGCAGAGCGCGGAGGTGGCAGCGGGCCACCGCCCCTTCCTCTCGGGGGTCTGGGCCCTACCCATTCCCGTCCTCCGGCTTCTCCTCGGGTCTGGGCGTTAGCGGGCACCGGGAGGGTCTGGGGAGCCCTGGTCCCAGCGGTGCCACCGCCTGTGCGCCCCCTACCGTGCGGGCCACAAGGAGGCGTCCTCCGGCCTCGGTCGCTAGGGGGCGAACTGCACCTCACCAAACCGGAAAGTCACCGCGTACCCCTCACATAAAACAATGAGGGCGGGTCCTGGCAAAGGAAGCCACGCTGACTGCGCATCTCCTGAGTGTCCGCGTCGCTCCTCCAGCTCGGCCAGGTAGGTGTGATTCCCGCTGTGCAGACAGGGAGCCCTCCCTTTGTGACGGGCTCGAGGACTCTTGCAAAAGTTTCTGTCCTTCCGTCTCAAAGCCCTCTGCTCGGATCACGCTTCCTCCTCCTGGAACCTGGAGCGGTCCCTCGCGAGTGTCCGCTGCCTGCAGAGGCCCTGGCGCTTTTCTGTTCGCCACGTCCGCCTCGCTGCGTGATCCGAGGCCTGTTGCCACTCGGGGGTTGGGCTGTGGATTCGCCGCCGCCCCGCCGGACGCGGGAGCCAGGCTTCGGCTCCTGCGCGGCACAGGACCGGTGTCCGGCTGCCTCCTAGCCCAGGCTGTGCCCCGATCCCTCGCTCGCGTAGCGCTTTGCCCTTCCGCAGGCCTGGGCTCTGGAGGGA